TGGCTTTACCTGGATTGCACGATTAGTGGTATGGGACGCTAGTCACCAAGGTATTGCAGCGGTCATCATGGTGGCCGTGATGTGATTATGGAGATGTGTTCCTTCGAGTAAGGTTCACGTGATTGGGGGATAACATGTGTTATCCGGGCATGTATTTCGCCGTGTACGGTACCTTGTGTACTATGAATTGGTGGTCTTGTTGGTGGTTTGTTGGTGGGGGACGACGGTCCCAGGAGGGAAAAGGTTGGACTAAGAAGTACAGGGGTCCTGGAGGTAATGGTTGGCATGAAGGTACAAGGTTGGGGGTAGCCATAAGGTTGGAACAAGGCATAAGGAAAGCATATCAACTCGTGATGGGTGATGTCACGAGGGCTTGTGTAGCCGTTGTTGTGAGTTCTCTTTCTTGTGACGTGTGTAGTCACAAGGGCATGTGTTGCCATGGGTGAGTCTTATTCCTTTGTGTTGTGGTTAACCTTTGTGGTTTGGGATGTGTTCCCGTGTTATCTTTGAGAGTGATGAGTCTTGTGTTGACTGTTGATCTTGGCTTTTGACTTATATACTTATGTATTCCGTTTCGAAAATGGTTTTATGGCTTATATCTATCTATATATGATACTTAACGGTATTGGTGGGTTACCAGCATTATCGCTGACCGGGCGTCGTCCCAATGTTTATCTTTGTATCTTTCAGGTGATGTTTAGACGAGCGCGATGTCTAGTGCCTGGTAGCTTAGCACCTTTATCCTTGTTTTTGTGGCCTGTGCGCCAATGTAGTTAGACTGATGTTTTGGGATAGATGTATAAACTTGCAGATTGTTTGCCGTAGCGTTTACCGTGTTTGGTAGACGTGGCGTGACACCCCGTTGGATTTCTTTTATCCAGTTCTCGTTTTATCTTCCGCTGTGCTAGTTTTGTTGTTTAATCTGCATGTGTTAAGGCTTTTATATAAGTCTTGTTTGGGGGAGGGTGTTACACATCTCGTAGGTGCGAACAGATCAGCACTCACGAATCCATTCGGGATTGACCGAAAGGCCACAAACTCAAACTAGTGCTTTCGAATTTGAAGCACGAATCAATGCTTAGTAATGAAGCACGAAACATGCTACACAAAGCACGAATCACTGCTGCAACTTAAAGCACTAATCTCAAAGCAATCTTCCATTGCTTTAAATTATAAACACGCAACAACCTTTCGTTGCTTAATTTATAATTACAGTGCTACTTAGCACTAGGATTATTAGTTAATTACACAATTAACCAAACCTCCTTTCGTGCTAATCACATAGCACTTTTTACAATGCTAAATTTAACTAGCATTTTTCGTTAAGCTCAAGCTTAATTTTAACGTCCCGACAATTTGTCTCAAATCACATTTCATACTAGTATAATTTGAAATTTTGATCAAGTTAATTATAACACAATTAACAAGAACAAATCAACCAAATTTCCGACTAGTTGAATCAAACTCATATAATCGTTCTTAGAATATTATATAAAATATTCAACACTTGAACTGTGATGCTCACGATTATATAGTTATCCCAATTTTTGACAAATTGATCATTGAAATCCTTATCGTTCTACATGAACCAGAACCGAAGTCCTTTTACGAGATTTCAAGCATGTAACACGCTTGTTACATTTCGTTCCGGCCGTTAAGTCATTCTAGCATTTTTCCATATAATGCTACGTGATGCTCTACGCACCCTTATTGAATCTTATATATATTAAAAATATCACACAAGAATATTTTAAAATATACAAAGTTCAATACACACAAATGGAAGAATTCATTTTATTCAACAATAAAATATATCACAAGGATACTACAACATTTATTCAAAATAAATAAATAGGAAAATTACATTGGAAACACATTTTCTTATTCCTATCTCGTAGTAATCCTTCAACCCGTGTGCCTTGTTCCATTTTCCAACCGTCCACTCCACGAAGGGTGGTCCATAGCGCACATCGGGGGTACCTCGGTTGTGACCTCACTCGTCCAACCATCCACATGTTTTAAACATAGCGAAGTTGTCCTCAACCTTTTCACCAGGATGACGGTTCGCTTCATAGTGGCATTTCTCATTCTTCTCATAATCTTCTTGAAAGCTAAGCTTCCGCTAAAGTTTCATTTGATTACGGTTGAAGTCATTGGTCACACTACCATAGTCCTCAGACCATGTAGTGGTCGCACCATCATAGGATCCTTCGTGGCTTTTAGCCGATCCGTTAGGCAACACAATAGGTACCAATTGTGTGCCATTAGCCACAGGTCTACCGGTTCGTGAACCAAAGTTCTCCAGAGCACCATCGTGTGTTTTTGCAACTCCCATGGAAATAACATTTCCAACGTTGCTGCCATCAACTGGCATCACGGAATGTGCAACATCGTTGCCGTTCCGACCATTTGAATGTGCACCTCCGGCAACATTCACGGATCCAATACTCTTGGAATCCATCGACTTGTTCATTATCAAAAAAATAATAAGGTTTTAAAATTGTTGGTGATAATGAACCAAAATCGATTTAATATCCCAAAAATAATATTTATATATACACACACAAGTATATAAAATATTATTAGATATTTATCCGAAATATATATATACACACAAATATATATAAAACGGACCCAAAGGTTATATATACATATATATCTACGGAAAAGATATACCAATATATCAACCAAAATTGGAACTAATAATTCTCAGATCATAAGTCCAATCCAACGAATATATCAAAAGAGGGAGAACAGATTTTTGCTTAAAAGCATAATCCAAAACAAGAAAGAAGGAGAATGAAGAAAGAATAGTACGAGTTAGGCGAAGTGCCTGTCTTTCCTTAAAACCTTATTTGCCACCTCCCAAAAGTGCTAGGAGCGTTGTGGCCTAGGTTTCCCAGGATAAAACGTACAACGATTCAACGTTTGAGCACCCAAACGAACGAACCCGGCGAACAAAAGCACGGGCAAAACACAGTAGCAAGAAAGGAGTAAGAGCAGAGATTTTGGAGCTGGAAAACCAGAATTTCTGTGTTGTGTGTGTTGTTCTCAAATCCGTGTCAAAAAACACTGCTACTAGAATCATTCTTATATAGGGACGGTGGACTTCAATAGCATTAACAAAGCCATTAATCTTAGCTTTGTAACATCTGAAACAGCAAACCGTTACATGGGATTTAAATTCAAAAATGAAATTAGAATTAATTCAAAATTAATTCCGCAGTTGAAAAACTAATCACATGTTCAGCCTCACCAAAACTTACTTACTTTCGGCCTTGCAAAGTCTCGGTCCAAGGCCGAGACACTAGGCACCCCCCCCCCCCCCCCCTCATAAAATATATGATGTTTTATATATTATCAAATAATGTACCTTCAGTACATAAATAATATATTTTTAGTATATTAAAAATGTAGGGAAAATGTACAAATAGACCATTGAATTATTTGAAGGATAATAATTAAGTCATCGAACTCGAATAAGCTCCAAATTCATCTATCAACCTGAAAAAAAAAAAATGCAATTAGCATTTTTAGTAGGTTAACAACAAGTTTGGATTATCATGTGTATATTTTATTTTATATTTTATTATTTTTATTATCCTACTAAGTATTTGACCCTCTTCCATGTCATGTTTTCCTGATTTTATTTCCTTACGTGTCGGGTACTGTATTTAAGAATACTTTTTTTATTTATTTTAATAATTTCAAATAAAATAATTATTTTGAAATTAAAAAAAAAAAAAAAAAAAAAAAAAAAAAAAAAAAAAAAAAAACAGTCTCCATGGCCAGCCAGCCGGTCATGACGGCCGCCATGGAGACGAAAGGGGACCCCTTCGTCTCCAGCTAGCCACGGAGATGAAGAGCCGGCCATGGAGACAAAAGGGGTCCCCTTCGTCTCTGGCTAGACTGTTTTTTTTTTTATTTTTAGTTTAAAAATAATTATATTATTTATTTTATTTTTTTGAAAATAATTATTTTATTTGAAATTATTAAAATAAATTTAAAAAATTATTTTTAAATACAGTATTCTGACACGTGAGGAAATAAAAGCAGGAAAACATGCATGGAAGAGGGTCAAATGCTTAATAGGATAATAAAAAAATAAAATATGCACATGGCAACCTAAACTTATTGTTAACCTGCTAGAAAGGCTAATCACACTTTTTTTTTTCAGGTTCATGGATGAATTTGGAACTTATTCGAGTTCGATGACTTAATTGTTATCCCCAAAATTGCATTCATGGTCCACACAATAATTTGCCATTCTCCCGTTAATTCTCTAATTTAAACCAATTTTCAATATTATCCTTGTAATAAAACTTATTTTGTTTTGAGAAAATTTTCATTTTCTTGGAGTTCTATTTTTTTATTTTTTTTATAGTACTATTAGAGTTCATATTTAGTTCTTGTTAATTGTACTTAACATGTTCATTAATTATATTGAAATAATTTGTCAAGCACCTTGTGCTCATATGACATGTAGTGACTTCTCCATATAAGAGGTCATGAGATTGAACCTTAGTAGAGAGAAAGTATGTTTGAACAGATATTACAATGTAATAGAGCCACTAACATTCAAAAACAAAATATTGAAAAAATTTACATATGAAGTGTATACTCACTTTTTTGGTAAAAATAAAATTCTCATTTTTTATATGTAATAAATTATAAACAAATTTAAAATCATAATAAAAATCGATACCAATCATACTTGGTACAATCATGTATTAACAACATAATACTTATACTATGTATTTTCGTCTCATATTACTTGTCTTATTTAGGCTAAATTGACTTCTTCTTCTTTACTCATTCTCTTTAGTATTTTTTTTTTTAATTTAATATTTTGATATTTAATGATACTCTTAATTTAGTTTATAAAGATATAAATTTTATATACCAATACTAAATATTATGAAAAAATGAATTGTAATTATCTAATTGACAAAAAACAAATTATGAGGTGGAGGAAGTATTATGTAAGCATACACAAATCAACAAAGTAAACTTCACAACAATCTTGATGCAAAATATTTCAGAAAATATTGGACTGCTAAAGTTTCCAAATTCCAAACATAGTTGGACTGAAAAACAATGAACAAATTAAGGGATTGCAACATTTCATTCTTTCTCAAGACCTCTTTATTACCAATGACTATGTTATTAAAGACACTGGAAAATTAGAGCTCTAGCTAAGGTAAGTTTGCTCCAGCTTCAACAATGTAAGAATTCCCCAGTTTCAACAATATAAGAACTCCCCAACATCCTGGGATGAGCTGTGGATAAGATATCGTATGATGTGAGTGCCGAATCTGATGTGGCATATGTTATCATCCTTCATAGTAAGCCAATTTCTCAGCATGCCAAATGATATTAACTTCACTTGTACTCCATGCACTCATTCCAGTTCAGGGGCAATCATCTGTCATTGTTTCAGAGAAAGATACAATTTGTGAATGACTAAACTACAAGACTTTAAGAATAACATACAGAGTAAATTTCAAAGTTAGTCCTAGAATTAGTAGTTATGGTTTAAGGTTCCAACAACAAATGGTTCTTACATGCACAAGAGTAAATGTATTCTAGGAATAACCATGACAAGTGGAGCAAGAAATAAGCCAAGGACAAAAACCATATGCAATAAAATGGGTTTAGAGTACCCACATTTGCAGCCATAATTTGTTCAATGTGTACAACACTGTAAGAAGATTCCTTTGGAAATATTTTATTTCAGAAATACTGATAGAAATTCATAACTGAAGCGTGGCTAAAATAATCAACTAGTACCAATAAAGAATTTCAAAAGATGATTTATATAATTGAAACACTTATAGAGAATCAAAATAGACCAATAAAAGAATTGGAACTATTATTAACAAATTTGAATTACTAGTCTATGGTTTACGGTTCCGGTAAACCTCAACCCCGCCCAGTAGTGCAGAAAAGGTTGTGATCTATCATTTTACCCTCAAAATAGAGTTTTTTAAGATAAGAAATATCAGAGAGAATTTCATTTATGGACAATCTATCTCTACTATTTTTATTGGTTCATAGATAATCTCTACTGTGTAGTCTGTGTCTACTCCTCCATACAATGCATATAAGGTGATTACAATTTCTAGAAGCAATGATTCCAGCACTCCAGCAGGTTTTGATAATCAGAGTTTAACCGGAAAGTGTTGAGCAACTGAAAAGTATAACAGAATAAAAAGTTGAGGCTTTAATTTGCCCCATAACATAACCAAATCAACTTCATTTTCCCACCAAATATGCCACTTAACCAGTAGAATGAATCATGTAGAGAGTTATAAATAATTAATAGTAAATTTGATATCAAGGCCGGAAATCTTGGCCTGCATAAGAAGAGAGTATAGAATAGATTGAGCTCTAAATTACTGTCTCTAAACTTGCATGTGATGAATTTGAAGAATCAAGGAGAAATTGATATCTTCTAAGAAAAGATTCAACTACAAGAAGATGGCTATCATGTACAAGTCATATATTCAGTATTTGAAAACCTCAAATTCTCCAGCATTCAGCTCTAAGTAGCATGCAGTCAGGAGAACATATACATCGATCATGCTATTCGATATCACGAATTCTACAATCAAGTGCTCCGTATTCATTCACCAGCATATGTGTGGGAACCTTTATGACCTCATTTTCAACCATGATTTAGCTTAAATTAACTATGAAATCAAGAAAGGGAGTGGTGGGAAAAATACTACAGATCGAAACTGCAGAGCAACAAATGCCAAATTTTCGAACAGTAACTGAAACTCTCAAGCTCGCTCTCTGCATATATTCAACTCCATGTATGGTGCAAATTAAAGCAGCAGTGATAGGAGCATAAACAACACAGCATAACATTTCACATCTTCAATTCCATGAAAAAAACACACACACAACAAACCTGTGTAATTTGGATAAAGAAATAATAAAATAAAAACATCCGCTCTGGTTTTCAATCAAAGGTATGAAGAGCCTAAAACCTAACATAATCAATTTCATAAAACAAACGAAAATTAAGAAAGACCGGAGAATCGTATGGAAGGTACATCAAAAACGTCACTATTACGAGGATTGCAAACCCAGTTTAGCAGATTGAAAACCCATCCAATGCATTTCAGTAAAAGTGGAAAATCCCCAAAAATTCCCAGATTATATTCACGAAATCTGGGGACAAATTAGCAATTTAAGTTCTTGAATTTTTGGGCAAAAAAAAAAAAATTGGACCAAAAAATTTAAGGAATCCATAATTCAAAAGCAGTTTAGCAAAATTTACCAGGGATCCGGAGAAGGTTTTTTTGGAGAAAAAAATTTGGACCATTTCTCGATTTGTGCGTGTCATCCTTGCGCAGGGGCCATGCTAATCTTCTCTGTATCGTTCCAATTTTATCGGATGTCCCCGAAGGGACAATCACTCCTTCCATGACAGTCTATATGTAATAGAAGAAAGCTGCTTCATCTGCCGATGTGGGAGCTGGCGAGTTAAGCAACTACAGCGTAAACCGCATACATGTTAAGACCATCGATCTATAGCAGCCCATAAAGGCATGGAAGCCCGGCCCAAATCTCATGGTTTTTATTTTTAAAATTTTAAAAAATTCTTTAAATTTTGTTTGTTTATTAACTTTTATTTTTACGGATTTTTTTTTTTTATAGATGTAATAAATCAATAATTCATGGATGTCATGCTTTCATTTTAGTGGTGCTCTATAATTAAATGTAGAGCTGATAATCTGATATGCTTACGCCTTTTCGATCATCATCCTTGAGCTCTACTAAAAGATTGACCATTTTCAGCCCTTTGCGAGCTCTCATTAACTCGCTGTCAAATCTTGAACTTCGGCATGATGATCATTCTAAGCAATGCTACTACGTCGCTCAACCCAAAAGGGAGTGCGTTACGTTACCCAGAATAGATTATACCTTGGATCCAGAAGTAGCAAGGTCAAATTCCATGATCACAAGGCTATGCAAAGATGGTCGTGTCATTGAAGCACGAGGAGTGTTTGATGAAATGCCTGATCCAGATGTGATTTCCTGGACAGCTATGATTTCGGGGTACATAAGCTGTGGCATGATTAATGAAGCTCGGGAGTTGTTTGATAGAGGTGATGCTAACAGAAATGTTGTAACTTGGACAGCTATGGTTGCTGGGTATATGAGGGGGAATCAAATTTTAGATGCTCAGAAGCTTTTCAAAGAGATGCCGGAAAAGAATGTGGTATCTTGGAATAGTATGATTAATGGGTATGTGAAAGCTAGTAGAATTGATGAGGCTTTGGCGTTTTTTGAGAATATGGAAGAGAGGAATGTAGTTTCTTGGAATATGATAATTGGAGGACTAACTCAATGTTGGAGGGTTGATGAGGCATGGAGGATTTTTGATCAAATGTCAGAAAGGAATGTGGTCTCTTGGACTACCATGATTTCTGGGTTGTCAAGCAATGGGAGAGTAGATGAGACAAGAATGTTTTTTGAGGGGATGCCAGAGCGGAATGTGGTTTCCTGGAATGCAATGATTACTGGGTACATAAAGAATTTGAGGTTTGATGAAGCATTTGAACTGTTCGAGAGGATGCCTGAAAAGAGTGTTCTCTCATGGAATACAATGATCTCTGGTTTTATAGAAAACAAGGACCTGAATAGTGCAAGAATGTTGTTCAATGAAATGCCGAGAAAAGATGTAGTTTCTTGGACATTGATGATTAATGGCTCTGTGCAGAATGGCCAAAGTGAAAAAGCCATAGAATGAAGGGACCTTCATTTGTGTTCTGAGTGCTTGTAGTAACTTAGCTGGTCTGGGTGAAGGGATGCAAATTCACCAAGTAATTAGCAAGACAATTTATCAAGATAACCAATTGGTCATTTCTGGACTTATTGACATGTATTCAAAATGTGGAGAGCTGTCAACTGCCAGGAAAATGTTTGATGATGGATTAAGAGGCCAGATGGATCTGGTCTCTTGGAATGGAATGATTGCAGCATATGCTCACCATGGATGTGATAGGGAAGCAATCAATTTGTTCAAAGATATGCAAAAGATGGGGTTCAGACCAAATGATGTAACTTATGTGGGGTTGCTTGCTGCCTGCAGCCATTCGGGATTGGTTGAGGAAGGGTTAAATTACTTTATTCAGCTTATGAGAGATGAGTCCATAGAGGTTGGCGACCATCACTACTCATGCATCATCGATCTCTGCAGTCGAGCAGGAAACCTCAAAGAGGCTTATCGATTCATGGAACAACTCCAAACAAAGCTACCTGCAAAGATTTGGGTAGCTCTTCTTTCAGGATGTAATGTTCATGGGGACCAAGAAACCGGGAAACTGGCAGGAGAAAAACTCCTAGAGGTAGACCAGGTGGCTGCAGAAAGTTCTAGTACTTATATGCTGCTATCGAACATATATGCTTCAAGTGGGAACTGGAAAGAAGCTGCAAAACTGCAGGGGAAAATGAAGGATAGAGGATTGAGAAAGCAGCCAGGTTGTAGTTGGATTGAAGTAGCAAATAGGGTTCATGTTTTTGTGGCTGGTGATAGATCTCATGATGAAACTGAGCTGCTTTATTCTTTGCTAGGTAGTCTTCATGTGAAAATGAAAAGGGCTGTTTTCTTTACTACACACAATTTCATATTGGAAGATGATTTTGCATTCATTTGAGCTTTGGCCTTTCATTAATGGTTGAAATATGAATCAACCAAACAGTTCAAGGCAATATTGTTAATAGAGACATAAGATACGGATAGTCGGATATAATTCGAGGGAAATAAAAGTTGATCTCAGGAGGCTTATACTATTAGACTAGAAGGTACTTGGCAAAGTAAATAGAGTATTGGGTAGATTCATTAGCAATATACTATAATTTTGTTAGGTTGTATATCCATGTAGAAGGGTATATGCTTAGAGGAGAAGGAATTGAGAAAGGAGTGATCACATGTGCCAATCCTCTTCTATCCATGTTTCATTTGATTTATTCAAACTAAGAAGTTTACATATTAAAAATGTTTACTCAGCTTTTTGAAATGAAAGTGGATTCCTTTTTATTTTTATTTTTTTATGATATTGATAAAAATTATTATCAATAATATCCACTACTACTATTTTTGTACTGAATACGAATACAATTGGTACCAGCAATGATCAACACTGTAAAATTATATGTGCATAACTAACCTATAAGGCAAGGTGGTGGAGAGAAACACTCAAAACAGAAAACAATCACAAAGTTGAAAGGCTGAACAAGATTACTACATCAAGAATATCTTATCTATCTCTCCCAAGTTACAGTTTGGGTACAATAATAAATACTCCGTAAATAAAAGGGGATTGTCAATATTTCAGCATTATTTAATAAGACCTATTTATTTTCGATAAATATAGTTCAACTAATTAACATTTGCTTCAAAAGGGAAGACAAAATTGAGACACCAATCTCTAAAATTAGTTTTATCTGTATAGTGCATGGAGCAATAAGACGTACTATGGACATTCCATCTTCTGGACCACAGCACCAGTATCAGACTAGCACCCTATACTTTTTCTTTTTTTTTTTTTTGTATATTATTCTTATACTGGGAGAGTTCCATAAATGTGCAACCTGTGAGACTGACTTGGACCATAAGAAGACACCCTCACCAGCTTTTCTTTCTGAAAAGGAAACAACTTCAGGTGCAAACACACATCTCTGGTGTCCAACTAGGCAAAAGCGTGGGAACCTTTATGACTTCATTGGTAATCATGATTGGATTCAGGCATGAAATTAATAAGAAAGGGAGTGGTGGGAAGACTGGAGTACTGGACTATACGAACTGCAGACCAAATGTCAAATTTCAGTATTTGAAACGCTCAGACTCTCCAGCATTCAACTCCAAGTAAGATTCAATGCAACAGTGATACGAGCATAAACATCACAATATAACATTTCACATCTTCCATGAAAAATGCAAACAATAACTTAACCACTATAGCCTGAAGTGCCTGGCAACCCGCAATTATGTGTTATTCATATGTATCAAGATTGCTAGTTCAAACTTTTGTAGCCATAATAATCAATTGAAGAAACATTGAAATTTATTGGAAGACAAGCTGAGTACAATAACAATAAGCACTATACAGAATCAAGAATCTAATGACAGAATACAAAACATGGGCTCACACAATTGTACATATGGTATATGGATGAATTCCCTGAGTTTCGGAGAATTCATAACCTCATCCATTCACATAAAAATGATAAAATTAAAATAAAGGACAAAGAAAGCTAGATATTTGATTTTAAAAAAAAAATCACTTGTACAATGGTTTCAACCCCGAGTTTTGCAGATTGAGTAATCCCATCTATGCAGTCCAGAAGAACGGGGAAATCCCCAAAAAATTAGCAGATTAAATTCACAAAAATTTGGGCAAAAATCCACAAAAACATAGAAGATTAAATTCATGACAACTGGGAGAAAAAAAATCCAAATAATATAGAAGATAAAATTTACAGTGTTTTGGAGGAAAAAAATGGACCATTTCTCGATTTGTGCATGCCATCCTTGCACAGGGTTCATGATAATCTTCTTCGTTTTGTTCCAATTTTAATGGACGTCCCCAAAGGGATGCTCAGTCCTTCCATGGTGGCGTATATTCTTTTTTGGTACTATGATTTCAGAGGTCATATAGTCACACTGTATTTCAACTAACATCAAATCATATTACTGGGGGTTATTATATTAAAAACCTATTAATTTACCAATGAGACTTCCTTAAGATTACTGCAACATTAAAGAACAAGAACATGAAAAAATAATTAAGACAATTTCACTGGCAGCAGGGAAAAGGGAAGTGAGAAGAATACTGGGGTTGATTTATCTTTTTTCTCTGGTCCAGTTCACTAGACTCACCATTACTCCCAGCAAACTTCAAACAATTATAAAGTTCAATTTGTGGTGAATAGGATGGAGAATGGAGTTGTGGGTTGTAGGAAGTAGTTTTATACCAGTACTTTGCCGTATAGATTCTTCCACAGGCAAGAACAGCTGAGTAAAAATAGAGGAGAAGAAAAGGCCAGCTTTCTTGTGTTTGTAAGACTTGACAATTGTTTGTCAAATGTTACAATAATGGGCACATATTTATAAGTACAACAAATGCCTTTAGTGGAATTACATGTGTTAAATCACTAAATCTATTCGACTGTTATACGTAAATCATGTCTTCAGCACTTGAAATCGCATACAACTCAAAGAATCATGCACTTAGATGAACATAGACAGCATGCCATTACAAGTCACATATTCCACAACAATGGGTATCATTTATCAGCATTCATAGTTCAAAATTATAATTTATTCTGAACAACAAATCTAAAAGAGATTTTGCTTATATGGAGTTGTTTATTTTATATTCTTCCCATTTTCTATACTAGATCATGGACATTCAGCTCCTGGACAGAGAAG